GTATTTTACAGAATATTCATATTATCAGTTTAGACTAACAGGTGCAGAAATAACTACATTTGACTTTTGACTGTGTCTCATTCAAATGGTTGTCTGTGCTGCAGCTGAAATTCATCGGATTAATTTGTGTCACTTTTAACAAGGTGAACACAAGGCGTTTTCTCCCAAAACTTAAATTTTTAACTTTGTAGATTAGGGCTGCATCTAACGATTATTTTGTAAAATTATTAATCTGTCGATTTTGTTTTGTTTTGTGTTGTGTTTTTTCAGATGAATCGATTAATAATAGCCAAAGGTTCCTTAAATATTTTTTATGGAATTCAACCAGGTGGAAAAAAACTTTTCCACTTTAGTAGTTCTGGATAGAACATATTCACAGACAAAAAGTCTTTTTATCTTAAATGCAAAATGTTTACATTTTTTTTTTTTTTACAATTTTGATATATTTGTTGATCTAAGTTGGTCGCTCTGTCAGCTAAAGGCATATAGAGTCTCTATACTCCAGGTAACGACTAATGGATTACTAAATTAGCTGACAATTATGTCAATAATCAATTAATCATGATTAATCTGATTGTTTCAGCCCTAATATGAATACAAAAACTACATGTATATAAATTCTTTTTTTACGTTTTGCCATTTGAAATTGATTAAAAAACAAAATAAGGTGTTTGTTTTTTCTATATTCGAATTGTATGAAAAGGACAGTGAAAAATTATCAACAGATCAATCGATTACGTAAATAATCGATAGGTACAGCGCTTTTTGTGTTAGTAAAAAAAATCGTTATGTTTAATATAAAAGCACCGGTTCCTGTTTTATTGCCGTACACTACTTGTGCTTGAAAGCATTACATTTATTTCTGTTTAGAGATTTTCCTAGTATTGGTAAGTATTTCCAGGTTTAATCAGTCTTTTTTAACGTATAGTTCTTGGTCCTCTCTTTGACTCTGAGTTATTGACTAATCAAGGAACACAAACAAATTTGACCACTCCATATTTGAACCAATCATCTTTACAGATTATTACGAAATTCATGCCTAATTTTTAATGTTTTTGTCTTCTTGGTTTCTTTTAAAATTACTGTAATGAGTTTTCAGTCTGCAGTTTTTCAGCCTGTGTAAGCCCTTAACATCTGTTTGCTTTTCCCCTGTGAGGTGAGTGAGAGGAGAGATACAGATACTGACCCCGCTTTACAGAAGAAACAGGTAATCTACTGCAGAGTCCACCAACAAAGCAGGACTGTTTGAAAAAATGTCACCACAATGTTCAATGCACAAATAGTTGTTTTCTCTAATAATCTGAGTCCAGAGATGAGAGTAAACATGGATGCCAGTTTAATGCCCTTTTTTGTCTTCCTTTGTGTTCAGAGGAAGAGTCTAGATCTCAACCTACAAACTGCCACACCTCCATCCAGAGGCAAAACCCTCCCCACACCGGTACAAGTGAAAATTTACCCATTCTAGCGATTAATGAGATCTTCTTCACCCTGGTGTTAATGTTTCTCTCTCTGTTTGTACGTGTGTGGTATAAGGAACAATCCTGCAACATATGAAGATAATAAGGCTGTCATCTGGAGCTCATCAATAATTTATGCATGTTAGAAATCTTCCCCTTTTAGTTTTCATATTCAGGTTTAAGGGCAGCTGTTTTGCTTCATTGTTGTTTAAATGATTCCTGTAATCAGGGTCAGGGCTTTACCATACTATAAAGGTTGGCGGGTCCTGAAGGAGCAAACCTTCAGGAATTGGTTTTAAGGTTTTAATTTCAGTGAACAGCGCTGCTGCAAAAGATAGTTGAACATTTTTTTTTTATCATGCTTTTTTTCACATGCCGTTTAAAAAGGGCGGATGATTTTGAGAACTAAGAGACCGTTCACCAGGGTTCCCGCGGGTCCTTAAAAAGTCTTAAAAGGCATTGAATTCTTCAAAATAAAACTAAGGCCTTAATTGGTATTAAAATGTCTTAAATCAGTCTTTTGTAGGTCTTATTTTTTTAAAACATCATAAATAGGATTATTTTTTATTATGATACATTTTTTTAAATCTAAATAAAACACTAAAATTGACCTTTAGGAGATGCGCCATTAACTTTTTGTCTGGAAAATATGAGCAAGTGTAAATGTAACGAAAACTGGCTTCAGCCAAGAGTTTTTCTTCATGGCTAAAACCAGGGAACATACATGGGGCACAGTGGATTTTGTCCAAGAGGTCATTCAAGCTCGGAACGATGGGAATTAAGGCAGTGGAGTCGCACATGCGAAGGACGAAACACAAAGCGTCAAAATCGAGTTACCGAGAAACAGCCGGTATTTCTCAGTTTTGTTCCACCCTTGTCTCTGCACTTATCACCAAATCAAACATACTAAGAAAACGACACTAAGAAAAATAACTGCAAAAAAGACTTAGCACTGGTTATATTGTAGCTTTAAAACTGATTTGTTTTGTTCCCTGCTAAAACAAATTTTGTGAATTCAGTTAAATAATTGTTAAAATATATCTGTCATTTGTGTGTTTTTAGCTTTCTTCCTGTATGGGAAGCTTTTCAAAATTTGAAACATTAGTGCAGTGGTTTATGTTAAAATAAACCTTTGGGTTAAGTTGTCGCAAGCAGGTTTTTCTTGTGTTTGTTGTGAATTTGGTCTTAAATTTTTATTTCAAGTGGCATTAAAAAGTCTTAAAAAGTCTTGAATTTGACTTGCCTTATGCTGTAGGAACCCTGGTTCACAACGTAATATCATTGTAGCTGTAACCAATGTTCTCTCCAAGCTGTGCAATGGCGCACTGCTCATGCGTTCTCGAATAAAATTAAATCCAACATAAACTATCAATCCATTAGACCAATAATTTAGTTTTGAATGTGTGTATCAGTACCCAATGGAATTTCTTCACAGCATATGGAAGAAATAGGGCACAGTTTTTGCCATGCCATATTAAATATAATGATACCAGAAAAATGAACAGGGAACACATCCATCTTTATTTAATTTCATATCAGCCTGAACCGGCTGGATGTATTGGGAAAAACAAAATATAACTATTCTGGCATGTGATCTATCTACTCTTCAACGGCAGTTTCATATATGGCAATCAAATCTGTTTAAGAATAAAAATTAGTATATTTAAGAGTTGGATTTGGATGAATATGTTTAATAAATTATCTGTGTCCTTTAAAAAAGTTCTCTATTCAGCGCATCAAAAACCACTACAGATGGATAAACAATCCCAACAGGAAGAAGAATATGTGGCGCCCAAATTATTTACCAATCTAGGATTCCAGAACAATGAAACTCACCGGTTTGTAACAGCTCTGCTATCCAACATGCACAGTTTAAGGCGCAGCTGTTCTTTACAGCAAAACGCTTTTTTTGTTTGTTTTTTTTTTTAAGTACACGAAGCAAAAACTTTATCGGGAGCCACTGTGCATATTCTCAGATATATGGCTGCAGCACTTAGATATGAGGAGCTAAATGAGATCTCACAGCAGTTTGATATCTGTGCTACATTTAAAGCATTCAGCACTGATTGAAAAAGATTTAGGTTAAGGAATCGAACCAAAACAGCATTCAGAAAGCTCTTAAAGAGACAAATTTGGACAACTGTTGAAGATATGAGGACAGGTGTGAAAAATGGATAACATTTAAGGAAAAATCTTCTAGTAACACCAGGGCCACCATGTTGGTTTGCCCTTTTACAAAACAGTGGTACTGTAGATTGTCACCAGGAGGAGAGGAACCGTGCTAGCGTGATATGTTAATGATCATAAGGAACAAAGCTTTGCACAGTTAACTGATCCAAGCTCTTTTTTTTGCTGGAAAAATGTTATACTGAATACTGCTGTCAATACCTTGGGGATGAAAAATTATGAGAAAGGCAACAAATTTCTGCATTTCAACATTGATCCTAATTTCTCAACAGAAGCATGATGATAATCTGCTTAGTGTGCAAATTAATACACAATAACTGGCACAAATATGACCAAATTTGACAATATTTTAAGGTTGTCTGAGGGACTCTATTAAGGAGCAAATATACCAAAAAACTAATATTAACAGTTACAAAAAATTACACTTGTCATCATTATCGACGCCATACTGAAGTAGTATTGTATCCAGATCCAGCCTTTAAGTATCAATACCATCAGAGAATTGATTTTTTTATTTATTCTTTTAAAGTAGGCTGACAGGGGGAGAGACATGCAGCAAAAGACCACAGGTCGGGTTTGAACCCGGGTCAACCGCATCGAGCACTAAGGCCTCCATATATAGGTTGTGTGCGCTAACCAATGCGAGGCCGAAAAACGCCCCCAGAGTATTGATATTTTTTACCACGCTGGTTGAGAGTTAACCAACATTGCTGATGAGGCAAACACAACATTTATTATTTATGGTTTATATCCAACAGAGAAAAAGTTTTCTATGAAAAGCCGTTGGTTAAAGGAGAAGTTCAGTCAGCAAGGAATGATCAATGGATCATTATTTATACCTAAAACTAATAAAGTTTCGGGTAATTTATTGAATTTAAAGTTAATAAGTAAAAAAAAAAATAATAATAATTTTCGTCACAATCACTGAGTCTGGGACCGGCCATTTTTGGCCCAAATATAGTAACACCTCACTCCTGACATCCTCCGGCAGTGACGTCACGATGCGGTAAGCGTAGGGCCGTTCTCCATTGTTTACGAGCTAAATCAATGTGAGCCACTAGACACATCTGCAACCAAAAACAGTTAATTAAGATTTCGAGAGGACTTCACCACTGAAATTTGTGAAAGTTACAGTTAAACAGACAATGCCGACTTGCATGGCAGTTGGATGTTCGGGTAAAACTGAAAAAGAATCGGTTATTTCCCATTTCCGATTCATGATCCTCTAAGGACAGGTTATTGCCAATAAGAGGGAGGATTTGCCATCGAACTTCTGGCCAGAGTAAAAACAGGTCAGATGTAGCCAATATTTTGAAGATTTCAAGATGATCTGGATAATTGCGCGTTGTGACAAACACCAGATATAGCACTGGGACTTGCCCAACAGTGGATACCGCACCATGACGTCACAAACCAGTAGGTGGCAGTAGTGTTCTTTGACAAAGATGGATGTTTCCAATAAAGCACATTAAATGAAATTACTCTTAATTAAAAACACTTATCATTTATTGAACAATATGTAATAATTTAATATTTAAAGTACTTTATATGACCGGACTTTTCCTTTTAAATGGTTTCACATGGAACACCAACTGGAGGGTCACAGTTTTCGGCCTCCCCAGCAAGGAAAAGTTGTTATTCACCTAGATGACGCCATCGGCTGTTATGCGTGTTTTGTAATACATTACACCTGTAGGAAAAAGAAATGATTAAAACAGTAAAGTAACACTGAACTCTATTAAATAAAGTAGTATTTAATATTTTACTTTAACCTAAACTACATAAATTAATGTTAATCAGTCTGGGGTGGGTGATGCCAATCTGAAATCCAAGGGGAATGTCATCACCCATCCAAACCCAGACCAATCACACAGCTGGTCTCGGAAATGTTGCAAGAACCTCCCAAAAACGGTGGCGCAGGAACAAAATTATGTACATTTTTCTTTTTTGGATGTGAAAAATCTGTGATAAATTTCAGGAAGGGTGAAAAGGTGTGTGCCAAGGGAAGAAAAATTCTGTCAGGAGAAAAGGACCGAAAACCAACACTTCTTAGCAGCATCAGGGTTTCTGAATGTTGGAGAAAGTAACTTAACAAAGTAGCTTTAAAAAAAAAAATTCTGTCATTTAGCAAATATATTGGGCTTCATGTAATAGAGGAAACATTAAGGATTTATGAGGTGTATTTGTTGTATTCTATGTGTACCTTTAGTTTCAAATGTAGGATGATTAATGTATTTTTTGAATTAACTGGTTTAATCCAGTGTATAAATTTGTAGCCTCCTACTTTGTTTAAAGCGAAATGTCTAATTGTGTCTGTCTGCTACAGAAGCGAAAGGTCGAGAGCGTCCCCTTGGTGCCGCAGGTGCCCCCCGCCCCCCCAGTACCCTCTCTGCCGAGTTCAACTGAAGCTTCTCAGGCGGCGGTTTTTCCTGCCGTCAGGGAGACCCCCACCTTCAAGGCCAGGGAGGATCACGAACAGCTCTCCTCGCTCACAACCGTAGGAATCCCTCCGTTGATATTGCTGTGATCTTTTTATTAAATGGGCAGGATATATATTATATTTCTCTCCTTCTTTGGATAGAATGGCACTGCTCGGCGCCTTATTCCTGCTCAGCCTGGAAGGAAGAGAAAAGCCAACTGCGGCGGCACCGATGAGGTATGTGGGGGAAATTCCTCCTCACTTCACTCAGCCTATTGATTTGGTTTCTAGTGTCACTTTATCATAATGTTTTTATTTCCTTATTTTATTTACGGATATAAATAATGTAAACTAAAAAAATGTGCATGTTTGGAAGTCTGGAGGAATGCTCTGAAAACCTTCACAGAGGACATTTTTATTTTGCAAATACTAAAAGATTCATTAGTAAGAACCAGTTCAGGTCCAAGTCTAAGCCTAGATATGGTGAAACTTTATGAACCAGTTGACGATTTAATAAAAAATTTAAAAAAGCATTTATAGTTTTGAAGTGCTCAAAATTGTAAAGAATCAGATCAAATTCCGAAATAATTTTAATGGAAGGCTGTTTGTGTTGATGGGACTGATTTGTGGAATAATGTAAAAACAAGAGCAGCTACACTTTTATTTTTAGTAAAAGCCATAAATATGCTATGCTGGTAATATAAATTGAAATATAAGTACTGAATAAGTTTTTTCAGAAAAAATATTTTCCTCCCAGATTTCCTGCTTTGTCTTTCTAAAAGTATGTTTGTGGCTGGTTTTGCTAAGATTTACATAAAAGGAGAAATTTTTTTATTTTTTGTTGATATATTTGTATCAAAATAGGATTTATATTAATTGATCTGTTATAATAAACATGTATGAACAGTTTACAGTTACACTTTATTGACACGTTTAAATCTAAATTTACTTGTACCCAGATCTTCAGTAAAAAGGTCTGAAAGTTCAAATCAGCTTTGGTTGAAGACAGAAATATCAAGGAACCAAGGTTTGAATCCTGATTTAATCATCTAGTTTAAAAACTGCCAAGTCTGTAAACAAAGCATAAAGATGTTAAATATAGGAAGAGCTGTCAGGACTCTTCCTCATCATCTCTGAGAGAAGAAGAGAATAAAAGATACAAAGAAATGGGATTCCTAATCCTTCACAATGTTGTATTTCATGTTTTTTTTCTTAATTTCCTTCTTGCTGAATTTACATTAAATTAGTTTCCAGCTTCATGAACTGAAAAACTATATCTAAAGTTCTGATGGTGTGGTTTACACTGAATGTGACTGTTTAAGTGATTTACATTATATTTAAAGGAGCATTCAGAGCAAAGCTGGGAGAAGTTAATTTTGGTTTAACCCAACTGAGCAAATCTCAGTATCAATGTCATCAAGATGGTGTTGATACTGCAGAAAAAGACTCGCTGAAACTGTCCTCTGTCCACCCCAACACTCACTGGTGCTGAAGTTAGTCATAAGGAGTTTTGTTAATATTGTCCTAAGCAGACAAAGGTGCATCTCTACCTTAAATCCAGTAAAGTTTAGATGCATCTATTTTCCCCTCAGCAACTTCGGTGAACAAAACGTAACTCTTCTTTCCTTAGGAAAAAAATCTGCTTTGATTAATGGTTTCAAAGTTTCCACACCAGCAGAGCTCGCCTTACAGACCACGTTCACCTTGCTCACTTTGAGATACAGCAGTCTGGCTGCTGAAATCAAGATAAAGATCCTCCAGTTTTAAAATTTAATTACTTAAAGTCATTAAAGAAGAGATTTAGGTTTTTTTTTTTGTTTTGTTTTTTTACTTAAGTTTAATACTATAAACTTTTTCTTTGCTCAGACATTTTTACCCACCCTTCAGATTTGATCAGAGTATTTAGATTTCATGCCAGCGGGTTGTATCCAGGTTATAAGTTAAAAATACAAGGAAAACCGAGTAAGAAATAAAGGAAAGTATGCACACGGGAATCATCAGTTTGGAGGATAACAGAGCCCTGCGCTAATATCTTCTTAATGCCAAGCTGCTGTTTGTCGCCGCCATCAGATCTACCTCTGGAAGTAAAGCTTTTCCATCTCTCTTGCAGGCTTTCTGCCATCTTAAAAAGACCAAAGATGTATCCATCTTTAAATGCTTCTCATGCAGACACTTTTCTAGTGTTTTTAAAGTTGCGTAAACTGAACTTTTCAACCTTGACCTGGATGACTGAGAATCTTCACACATAGGCTGTTAAATACCAGACTCTTTAAAAACAGTGTCAGATCATCAGTGCTGCTCTCTTTTAGGAAATATAAATCCACTTAAACCTTGACAGTGCAGGAAGTGGTGAGAAACTATGGAGATGATGCACAGCACACAGAAGTTTAACTTTTCTGTATTAAGTCTCTTTTTTTTATTCATCTATGATATTCTGGTTATAAAATAAAATATTTCATGTTTATGGACTCCTACCCAAAGGTTAATAAAAATATAAACTAAGATCAAACGAATATTAACTTTTATATCTAAAAGGTGTTGACCTGCACCTATGATCATTTGTGCTTTTATAAAAAATTTTCTTGGTACTGAAAAGTTAATGTCTTTGAGCTTTAAATTTATTTTTTGGAATTGAACTTACTTTATCAGAGTACACAGTTTGTTTGTTGACTTTTATAATATATTATTGACCGGAAAAAAGGTAACAAAACCATGTTGAATCATTGAAGTCAAAGTTTTCCACCTAAAAGCCATTTCCATCTAAGCAGCTGCCCAGTATTTGGTGCTCTGTTGGATAGCAGCATTAAAGGAAATGGCTATGCATTCATTATAAAATAAACCTTTTCATTCTCAGCCTTCTTTACCAATTGTCTCAGATCTCCAGTTATTCAAGCCAGCCAGTCAGACTAACTCTGAGCTCACATCGAAAGTGTTTGTCTTTGAGGAATGCTCCCACTGTGTCCCTATAACTAAAGTTTTCAGTGTGAAATGAATAATTTCATTCCCCTCATTAGTTTCCAAAAGCCCCTGTTTTTGTGTTTCTCTCTGCTAGATGATAAAGGTTTTGCAGTATAACAAGCCTCAAAGTGCCAGTGTCTTTCTACCACCACCAGAGGTCTGTTGGATTTCCTATTATTGCCCGTTGATTGTGTGTCGGTGTCCAAATTGAGCTGTGCCATAGTGGGTCCAATAACACGGAGGAGGAGCTTACCTCTGACCCTAGTTTAGTGCTTCTGACAAAATAAACATCATGGTGATTGCTCATATTGATCAAAAGAAAACTAATAATCCAAATCTGGTTTTTGATTGAGAATTGATTTTTTTTTTTTTTATTGAATCTTTTAGTTTTACGAAGTACTCTCTGCAGGTTAATTTCTTCTATTAAATTTTGTTTTTAATTCTTCCTGTCAGGATTCTCAGGATAGTTCAGATGGCATCCCAAGTGCTCCTCGGATGACTGGCAGTCTGGTGTCTGATCGGAGCCACGACGACATCGTCACGCGGATGAAAAACATCGAGTGCATAGAGCTGGGTCGGCACAGACTGAAGCCCTGGTACTTCTCCCCCTACCCACAAGAGCTTACCACATTACCCATCCTCTACCTCTGTGAATTCTGCCTCAAATACCTCAAAAGCCTCAAGTGTCTCCAGAGGCATTTGGTAAGAATCTCTTTGGGACGTCCTAAATTGTGTTGCCATTGGACGATGCTCACTAAGTCAAGATAAATTAGGCCGAATTAAACATACAGTGGATGATTACCCTTGGATTTGGTCGAGTTAAACAGGGAACACCCCTGGAAGAAAACCAACAGCATCTAATCAATCTGTGAGAAAAACGGCTATGGTCAAGACTTCAATCTAAAGGAGAATGTTTCCCACAATTTGAAAATTTCTCTCCATCAAATCTGATTTAGTTTTGACTTTTATTACTGTTAGCTTTTCAAGAATTAGTGCAGGTTAAGGGGGGGCAAAAACTGCTTTTAACCAAGGATGTTGCAAAGCTGTTATTTTATTTATTAGTTGTAGCCAAACTGCAGGTTCTGTGACTTACTACCGGTCTGAATCCAGTTTAACTACATTTCAGGTTATTCTTTTTTTCTTCTTTCCAGACTAAATGTAATTTAAGACATCCTCCTGGTAATGAGATCTACCGCAAAGGCACCATCTCATTCTTCGAGATTGACGGCAGGAAAAACAAAGTAACGGAGTTATATTGTTGCTCTTCTGTTGACTTTATTATTGTTGTTTTTTTTAAGGTTTGTTTCATAATTTATCTTTTCCACTTTTTCAGAACTACTCCCAGAACCTGTGTTTACTGGCAAAATGTTTCCTGGACCACAAAACATTGTATTACGACACAGACCCCTTCCTGTTTTATGTCATGACGGAGTATGATTCCAAGGGCTTCCATATAGTCGGTTACTTCTCTAAGGTATACAAATTATGAGGGATAAATTAAGACATCTGTTTGGATGAATTTCCTTTGCCTTTTTATTACCTTTTAAACTTGCAAAAGAGGGGGTAAGAGAAGTCCTGTTTTTTTTTTAGTGTTTTTTTTATAAAAAGTAGTTTGATAAAAGAAATAAAATGGAGAGCAATTCTCTTTTCTGAACTAAATTGAAAATGGAGAAACTGGATAGTGAACGTAAAAATTGTTTTGGGTTCTAAGGTGACCTGCAAGTATATTTATGGGTCAAGAGCAGTAAGTGAACACCAAAACAGAAGACAGAAGCATTGTCACTGTCACTAACCGATCTGTCCCAGAAGCACATCCGGGTTTCCATAAATAATCTAACTATGGTACTAAAATTACTTATTTCTATCCTTAACCTATTAAGGAATGCTGATACACATCTTTAAATACTGTTTCATGGCTTGTCTTAGACAATTTTGAGGCTTTTTACATTTTCTCCTTTAAACTGCTCTTTTCATCATCGTACAAAAAAAGGGTACCAAACTGCATTTTGTTTAAGTTAATAACTTTGCTGAGGAATGATATTTGGCAGATGTTGGCATTTTAGTATCTGCTGGTACATACAACCGTTGGCTGAGTAAACTATATAGTTCATGATCCAAAGAATGACAACTGAAATACAGATAAAAACGCTCCAATTATATTTTGCTAGACTGCTCTGTACATGTCTGATGATGACCTTGTCAGACAATTGATATAACAGAACGTGCACTTTTTTATTTATTAAGTGGTTATTAACATTCTATGCAATGTAATTTAATATATTGTTATAATTAAAGATGAAAATAGGTGCTTATTTAAATGCGTACCGGATGAATTTCTGTTTCCTCAAACAAAAATGAGCTGATGGGTGAGATCGGGTAAGTGGCATCACAGCTCTCACATTATTTCTGTGTTCACAAACACACTATAATCTATTTTGTCCTGCTACAAACCCAAAACAGATTTATGGTTTAGGGCGCCACATATAGCTGTGATAAAAACAAAAGCTACTGAGCCCACAGCCGAACCTAAGCAAACATGGCGGTGCAGGAAGATGTATGTGTAGCTGCTGCTATCGCTGCTGTTTGTCAGAATTCATGTTTATATGAAAGAAGAAAAGCGCAAAAGCTTTTGCGGTTTCTTATGGTTTTGGCTGCCATGTCATTTGTTGTCATTATTGGCTAAAACCAAACAAGATGTCGCTTTGTCCAATCAGCTCGGAAGGTTCTGCTGAGCGTCCCTCCTTTCTCCGTACAGAGCAAATCAGAGGATTAAACCTGGGTGTTACACATTATTAATCTGGCTTATTAGGTTTTTACTTTCAATGGCAGCTTTAAATGTTTTTGTGAACTTAGTCACAGAATGTTTTTAAAACGGTGAAACCCGCTGAAATATCAGCTTATTTGGTGGCACCTTGAAATTGCAGCCGCATCATTTATAACGAGGACAAAACCCATAATTAATGCATTAATTCCCTTTGTTAATTTCATTTTTGTCTTTTTGTCATTGAAATCAGGAATTGGGAAACAAAGAACTAGTGACTATTTTTTGTTTTAGAACTGAATCTGTTGGACAGTTTCTTTTGCAGTGTCAAAAAGAAATTAAAGAAATAGTTTTTAAGTTTTTTTATTTCAATCTAATAGAAAAAAAAATAATCAACACAAATAATGGAAGGACAGTTTATTTTGACCAGACCTGATCTGGTCACTTATTTGACACAAGTGCCTAATCAGACTATCAGTTGCTAAAGATGAGCTTTAATTTTGTCCTAATTTTCAGGAGAAAGAGTCAACAGAAGATTATAATGTCGCCTGCATCCTGACGTTGCCTCCCTATCAGCGCAGAGGCTACGGAAAACTGCTCATCGAGTTCAGTAAGTCAAAGCTGCTGTGATTGGAAAACATTTCGGTGTACTTACTTTTGCTTCTATGTTATAAATCCTTATTTTTTTCCCGGTTTTACCAGGTTACGAGTTGTCAAAGGTGGAGGGGAAAACGGGAACACCAGAGAAGCCGCTTTCTGATCTTGGTCTCTTGTCTTATCGCTCCTACTGGTCCCAAACAATCCTAGAAATTCTCATGGACCTTAAACCTGAAAATGGAGAAAGGCCTCAGATAACTATAAAGTACAAAGCTGTTTATTATTATTTTATTTTATTTTTTTACATTGTTAGATGAGTTTTATTCAGAAAAGCAATCTAAACTTTTCTTCTTTATTAATGTTTTCTGAAAACAGTGAGATCAGTGAAATAACGAGTATAAAGAAGGAAGACGTCATTTCTACACTCCAGTACCTCAATCTAATCAACTATTACAAGGTAAGAGTTCAGAACTTATCATAAATCTAATGAATCACAAATGGTGCTAGTTTACTGTTGTTTACAAATCGTCTCATTGGCTTCTATGAAATCCTAACTAAACCAACATCTTTACTGTATATCTCTTGTATGAACAATTGTTTTGTTTTTTTGTATTAGCACCCCCAAGCTGTTTTGTACTCAAAAAAATGTATTAAAGCAGTAAAATCTCTGATCAATTCTACTAAAGGTGAATACACAGACATTAGTTTTTCAAGGTCCAGCTGAGACATTAGTCCTTTAATCCCGGAGATGTTCTTCAGGTGATAGGCCGACTTTGTTCCTGTCTTTATGAGCCTCTGGAAGGTTCAGGTCTGAGTCCATCACTACACTCAGATTTAGAGCCTGATGGGATGTTTTTAACTACCGTAGATCAGCTTAGCCTGTGTGCTACTCTTTTTGTAGTCAATCGGCCAATGTTAGCTCAACAACTGAACATTTGGCGGCAGCCTTTCCACCAATGTAACTCACTGATATATAAAAGAGGAGGAGGTTGGCTGTAGCATCATTCATGACTGCCACAGGAGAGATGCTGAAATACAAATGTCAGTGGTGAGGATGTTTTGTTGAAATTACAGAAGCTGGTTGCACTGAAGATTGGGCCGCTAAAAATGTTCAGCCGAAAACTATTCCGTTTTTTAGCCGATAAATTTAACACCAAAACAAGACGGTCGAAACTTGTGATGAATCGACAAGTGGCGCATTCCGCAGAGGGGAAAAGGGATCACAAGTAAACGGTACAGCCAGTATTCAGAAACCTTGTTGAGTACCTAAAGAAAAGGACTGACTCAAGAGAGCGTGGGTAGCAGAGCAGAGTTTATCAGAGTTCAGTGCCCGGCAGACAGGTTTTGAGAGAAAAGCAGCGAGTTTAAACGCTCCACTTTGGTCTCACTACGAGCTCCGGTCTGTGGCATTAAAAGGCCATGAAGAATGCAACACGGAAACATTTTTGAAAAAGGCAAGAACATTTCCTAGTTCTACTGAGGTAAAGGGCCAAAAAATGTCAGTGGTAAATAAATATTTTGTTATTTAATAGTTAAAAAATAATGATTTTTTTAATAGAGTTAGTAAACATTGTAGCCAAAAATGTAATGTAAATCTCTTTCTTGTCCCACAATGGGGAAATTCCTTCTCTGGATTTTAACCCATCTCCTTGGGGAGCAGTGGGGATAAGGGTTTTGCATAGGAACCGAGAGTGGAGGCTCTGGGGCCGAACAGGGTACTTGCAACCTTCTCAGAGCACAGGAGCACTGCTCTAACCCACAAGGCCAACACTCGCCTTATGCTAGGATTTTAATATTTAACATAACTTCTTTAGGTTTTAGCCATAGTTTTAAATTTTTTTTTGTTTTGGCCGAGATTATTTATTTAGATGCATCCCCAAACAGAAATATTTAAAAATGGCTGTGGGTGACAAGAGGGAGAAAACTAGATAGTGTCTTTAAGAAAACCTACAAGGACCTTCCAACAGGGCAAAGTGCATGAATGGTAAATGGCCTGTACTTATATTACACTACATTCAGTCATTCACGCAGCCACTGATGGTGGCAAACTACTTTGTAGCCACAGCTGCCGTGGGGCTCACTGACAGAGGCGAGGCTGCCGCACACTGGAGCCACCGGGCCCTCTGACCACCATCAGTAGGCAGTGCAGTGTCTTGCCCAAGGACACAACAACACTGAAAGCTTAAACCGACAATCCTCTGATTGAGGGGCAAACCCCTGCACCTGACACCACTGTGGCCTGAGCTGCACTGGAAGAGATCAAAGCATATTCATATGGCCTAGTCAAAATCAAGACCTCAATCCAATAGAGATTTTGTGACAAGAGAGCAACATTTCTGCTCTTAAATAGCTGTTGTCCAAGCTGGACAGAAGAGCAAGCAAAAGACTCTGTTTCTTGGAGGGTAAAAGCTGTTTAAAGGATTGGTAGAAAACTTCTATCAGATTGCAGGGAAGAAAGATCTGAGTCATGGAGACAGAACACAAATGCAACCTACAGGATTCATTCTAAAATTGTCAGGTGAAACCAATGTAGTTCACACCTTGTGTTGGAAGTTTCTGTTCCTCTTAAATAGAAATGGAAAATGAAGGCCAATGGCTTAATGTATCGCAGGGCTATGCTGTATAAATGCACTGTTATGTAAACAGGTAGAATAACTGTGTTCTCCTCTCCAGGGTCAGTACATCCTCACTCTTTCTGAGGACATTGTGGATGGACATGAGAAAGCCATGCAGAAGAGGCACCTGCGCATAGATCCTAAATGTCTTCACTTCACTCCGAAGGACTGGAGCAAAAGGGGGAAGTGGTAAAAATCTGCTGGATCCTCCAACCTGGACAGCAGAGCTGGTGTGTTGGACTGGATCAACTTCTTCACTCTTGGACTTCTCTTCAGACAAACAGTGAACATGGACTTAACTTGAGGCGTCTGAGCTTTGGTCCACCTCACTCATTGCTTATTGTTTTATTGATTTGTAATTTACAGAATTATAAGAACAGTTACCATACTCTCCACTCTGGATAGACTCCTGTTGATCACTGAAGTGGTGCATTTACAGTGACTCAAGTCACTTGGTCTAAAATTAAAACTCAGCCTGGCAGACATTCCAGCCCTCCTGTGATATGAAGTGAAAGATCTTCTGTTGTTGCGAAGAAAATGGAAATAAAAAAACAAAATGCAAACCAGAAATGCAACTGGGGAAAACATCTAAATCAAAAACTTGTTTTTTTAGAAATGTTTTGCTGTTTTCTCAGACTTTTTCTTTCAAATTTCATTTTTTCAAACTGTATGTTTTGTTTTTTGTTTTGTTTTTTTCCAAAAAAATAATTTTAACTGATCTTATATCTTTTATTATTTTTCCTCCTAGCTTCTCTTTTTCGTGTGGAGTTTTACGAATTGCATTCTTTTAAAATTCCAATCACAATCACACTTTAAGCCCAGTACCAATGCTCGCTCTTGATTTGCACACAGACCAATAAAAATGGTGCAAACTTCATGCTGAATAAAAATGTGACTTAGCCCCTCACTCCAGAGGAAGGCCTGCCCCATTAAGTGAAGAGACAGATCTGTAAAATGCTATTAGAAAAGAATGCAGTTAATAAAGCTCAAGTCTGAAAGAGAAATTAGACGGAAAAAAAACAAGTCATTTGTTAAAAAACAATCTTGCAACAAAAAAAAGGAACAAAATTCACTCCATACCAATGGTGAGATTTATCATTTTAGGACAAAGGTGAAATATTTATTCTGTTGGCAAAAACTTGAAATTGGGATTATTTGATCTTTTTGTCTGCATTTTATCCATATTTTAAGTTCTAAATAACTACCAAGTTATTTATCCTGCAAACACTTCATTAAAAAAATGTCTGTATTTATATACAGTTTATGAATAATCAACCATTTTTGTGTTCATTAAATAATTCCATAGCTGTGCTCCACTTAAATATTGATTACCATTTTGTTTTAGGTAAAATTTGTTTCTACTAAACAGTTTAAACTGGGAAAGTGTAATAATTTTGTTTTGGGGGATACACATGTCACTGAAATGTCCATCGTTGCCGTTTAAAAGTATAAAATAATTGCCCGTTTTAAATTCCCGTCTGGAGTTTGACCCTCCTGAGTGCCTGAATCATTAAGGTCATTACTTTATTGTTGTTTTTAGTACCAGTCTATAAATATTCCTCTTGTAAATATAACAGTTTGACATTTTACCTTCACACCTTCTTTGTATATAATTGTATAAACCAACATGAGTATTCAGGTTTTCTCAGACCTAGTTCTGTTTTTTTATTACCCTATTTTTAAATAGGCAGAAGTAAAAATGCTGCTGTGTGCTGATAAAAATCTTTTTTTTATATATATATAATTTTATTCACATCCTGTCCCAAAATAGTTAATCATGTTCCTAGAGTCTGTAAATACTAAACACAGAAGCCATGCTGAACTGTTGGAGGAAAGAAAAGTTATTGTACAGTTATTTATAACTTTAAATAACAGGCTGCACAACATGAAAGAATTAAGTGATATTGTTTTATGTTTACATGTGTTTAATGGGTGAATTTGTCCTGTTCAAATTACTTAGTATACTTTCAGTGTCATTTGAGCATTTGATATGAAAAGTTTTTGAATTTATAAAAAAAAAAAAAGTCTTCAATTCAAGTGTCTTCATATTGTGTGTTTTGTGGATTTAGAATTAATCCATGCTGTATTTTCTGCAGAGTTTAGATGTTTCAAAGAATATCGATGTTTGCGTTTTTCACCTAAAGGTGGAGAACTACGGCTGTGTTTTCAGCCCTGTTGGACAAATGGAGGATAAAACAAATGAACCAAACCTCGTGCATATGTTTAACAGAAGAAAGGCGATGCTTTTCCTTGAAATATGCGATGATTTGGGCTTTAAACGGTCAACCTATGCCTTATCTTTCAGGGCAAACATCTCAACTAACAGGAATATCTTCAAGTAGTTAGTTTTATTATTCATTTGTAAAGGAAAATGTATGCAAATTTATTTTACAGTGATTTACACTGAACTTTTTAATTGTTGATTTTGAAGGCTGTCAACTCTCATTAGGAGTGGGACTCGCCCATCTCAATGTCAATTTCTCGCACTAAAAAATGAGTCATTAACACTCAACTCCGTTCCACTTATTTATGATCAAATCCAGTCCGTGTTTTAATACTACCTTAGTGCTAACAGAATAATTATCTTTGTAAATTATTGAAGATTTTAAGCAATCTTGTATTTGAGTAAATATGAATAAAAAATGTACAAACAGCAGTTAGCCTAAATGACCAATGTGGAGACTGAGTAGGATCACATCCAATAGTTTGTTTTCTCTTTACCTGGCGCTTTTTTTTAGTCCCAGTTTTAGTCCCATGTTTTGCTCACAAGTTAAATGATTATTCCTCGGTCTAGTTTAATAATCCCACATTGGAATTTAGTAGTAATTAAACCAACACAAATATTTTAATTCTTAAAGCTTTCAGGTTTGTCTCTCAAACCCATAGAAGCTCCACAAAAAGAAAAAGAACCATTGCATTTTATTTTTCAAAAGATCAGCCACCCAAAAAAAGAACAACCACATCCAGAGAGGATGTGCAGAACAACTCAGTTATACAGGATTCATAGAGGAGAAACCACAGGGATGTTCTTCTTTTACTATTACTTATCTCATTCATTCATCTTTATTTTGGTCCATTGAATATGTTTAAGAACTTAACTTCCATCACACCTTCCAAATGAAACATCAAGAGAAGAGCTATCTCCTGTCATGGTGAGTTTTTATAAAATCTACAGCCTCCTAGAAGGTCTAAATCGTTTAGCCGTTTTGTCAATTGTAAGAAAAACTAATAACATAATAAATGAAGCTTTTTAATCCCTAGCCTAGTACCAAATATTCACACACAGTGCAGTTTGCATAGAGTTCGATTGCACTGGTTCCTGTATCAGTGCCAGTAATCCAGTAATAACTTATTAGTTCCCCATTGTTTAATTTACTTAAACTGCAGAGAATAATTAATGAACAAAGTTGTGAAATTCTTAGTCTAAAGTATATTTAAGATGCACGTATTTTTTTAGTAGGGCCCATTCTGCTTTACTTCAATTCTCTAAAAATCAGCAGAATGTAGAAAATAATGTATATTGTGAGAAAAATGTTCCACATAACTACAGACCACTTATTGTTACTCAGTAACATTTACTGTGCTATAAAAATTTCACATTTTGCCGCTTTGTTCCAGTTAAATCCTCTGCAAACCTCCAACCTATAGCTGCACCCATCCTCATCTAACCCTGACAGGGTTTCCTGTCCAAACTATTTCAAACTCTCACCCCAAGGTTTGATGAAAAGTTGGCAGCCCTGGTTTACATCATAAAAAGAAAAAAATTTCTTCTTGGAAATTTTGACATTTACCACAAGACCAATAAAATGAACATAGAAATATTGTTTCGGCTTACTCAGGAGGAGAAGAATGCAGATTTGATAGTCGTCAGGCGGTTATGGCTGACAGAGCTGGTGTCCTCAGAGTGCTGCATTCACAGGAATTGATGGAATGTTTAGTGGAAGGAAAAAATGCATAAGCAACAGGCTTAACTGTAACCTTGAGATGATTGTAAAGCAAGTTTGGGTTAGATCTGCATGCATAGACTGCGAGTCACAATCAGTGTGTATCCAGTTTATAACTATTATAATAAATATTGATCTGGAAAAAAATCAATGGCAGGGGAGTGTTGGCCTTAGGGTTAGATCAGTTTGCTTATGCTCTGAGAAGGGTGCAAGGTACCCGGTTCAATCCCCACAGCCTGCACGCTTCGACCCCACACTGCTCCCCAAGAGGATAAGTTCAATGCAAAGAGTGAATTTCTCCAATGTGATATCAATAAAATTCAAATATTTAAGAAAACAGTTTCCCAGAGAGCGGAGGAGGAGCTTAATGATGTGAATGATGTGAGATTCTATTTGAGGGCCCAGCTGCATCTGGTCTGCTGTGTTTCACTAGATCTTAAGTCAGTGTTTGGAATCAGAGCATCTTAGAGCACTTCCACTTTTAATTTACAAAGGTGCTTATTTCCTTTTTTTCCAGAAGGACTTTAAAGCAACGCCGACCAAATCCTAAGTAAGAACAATCCCCAGCCAAGTTACAAAAAATGTAAATCATTTGGTACTTTTACACCGGCAGACATATTTTAAACCTGATTTTACGCAATAAATTGAGTTTCTGGAAAAGAGAAGATAGCTTTAATTAGCAGTAAACCTTAACCATCAAAATTATTAGATTTAAATACTTGTATAATGATATAATGAGCTTCTCTTTTTAACAGACCAATGATATTGACATTTACATGCTTCTTAACAAGCATGTGCTCCTGTTTATTTAGAGGAGCTTATGTCCACATGGTGTCACTGTAATATTGAATGTTGTTGTGGAAACTTCTTGTAAACAAGGATTTTTATTTCATTTTTTTAGGTCCAGATCCTGGAAGTTTGAAAGCAGATTTTTTTCTAGTGTGTTTATCTGGAAGTGATCAGATTAAAATCAGATATGTGAACCAGTCAGAACCTGAGTAATATTGGTTTGAATTTCCTAAGTAGGAGGTGAGTCAGATAACAATTTATACAGGAAAAAAATTTGTTACAGGTTGCAAAAACTTTTTATTGTTTTTTATTTTAAATCTCAGGTTAAAACACTTACTGGTAATTAAGTGTTTTAACACTTAATTAAACACTAAACACTTAATAATTAGTAGGGGGACTAACTTAGAGGTGCGCTTGTTTGTGAGAAACGGTTTAACTATCATCTCTGGCCTCTGTTTTTTATTTTCTTATCTCCTAAAGACACACTCCACCAACCCCCCCCCCCAACCTCAGGCTGGAGCTGCTGACCTCGTAACACACGCAGCCATATGTTACAGCCGGGGCAAACCTCCACGCTGTAATTAGGGGGATGGTGCCGGACACTGCACTGAGGTTAAGCAGAGTGACTCATCCTCTCCTCTCTCCTTGAGCATCAGTCAGTGCTCTGCTCAAATTTGCAGGTATGTTGGTTCTTTAGATGTCCTGTTTGCTGTGATGAGGATGGAAAAAAAAAAACTGGGTTAAACTCCTATAATCTCATTGCTCCTAAGTAGGTTCAATGTTGTGATGATCTCCACCCGCACTAGCTTTAGGTTTAGGGAGTTCACAAAGGTCTTTATAAATAAACACATCGTCACTCAGATGCACACGCTCCCATTTTCACCTTTGACCTTTCGAGCTTTGGTGTCTTTATCTGTCACAAGCAGAAAGGATCTTTTTTTTGTTCAATTAGGAGATTTTAAAGCTGCTTGTCAGACCGTTCTGTAAAATTAATCCAACTCATTTTAGAAAAGGGTTGTTAAACCTTTTCCCATTTACAGATTCCTTTTGGGGGTCATACTTCTTATTTTCAAATCGTCAAGCCAGTTTTCAAATTAAACAAAGATAAAACTTTAAACTAATTGAAGGGAAATCTGGATTCACTGGTTGAAAATGCAGTTTCAGATTTTTGTTAATCTCCCTAGTAATGAAAACACACCACCACCATCGTCTTTGACTGCTGATATTTAACCAGTAAGCTCCTGGAGGTGCTAAAGTTGGATTGTTGTGGTTTTTTGTTTTGTTTTAAAGTGTTAAAAGCTTGAAAAAAGTAATTTTTTCTTAAAATAAGTGTATTTGTTCTTGGATTGAGGAGGTTTGCCAATGGAACAAGACAATTTACACTTAAAATAAGAAAACACAATTGAATTGTCTTATTTCAAGTGCCAATTATCTAACTATCTTATTTTAAGAGTAAAAATACTCATTGCATCTGCGAACTATTTCATCTACCTACTCAAATTAAGGGTGAATACACTTAATTTAAGAAATCTTTACCTATTTCTAGATTGTTTTTCGAGTGCACTCTCATGGGCTACATTTTTCCTTTTTCATTTGCTTGAATTGTGAACTCTGACCTTAACTGAGGTAAATGATGCCTGCTGGTTCTTTATGGATCATTCGGCGGTTCGCTGAAATCCCAAAGCCTTAAAAATGTATTCTTGATAATAGTTTGAAGGACATCAAATATGAGTTGCTTTTTCCAATTTTTTTTATTTTCTTCGCCTACTTCATAGGCGAAGAAAACAAAGACTTTTTGGCAATGAGAAAAAGCTCAGCAGTCTGTCACTGCTACTGCTCAGGTTTATGTTTTTATAGGCGTAACATCTCCTGAAGTAAGAGTTATTTAGGATTTTGTCTCAGCCTCTTACCTCAGTGAAAATGGGACCAATGGCCGGTCACTTTTCATTTCCAGGACAGATCTGATTTAGCTTTGTCCATAAAAAAACAATGCCCAAGTCGCTGATCAGACTCCTACTTATCGGTCTGAGGTGCACTTGTTGCTGGTGTTTTGTAATCCATCCATCAAAAAGAGTCACCCATTAACTCTCACTAATGCATCAATAGAGGTGCCAAAATCCCTCAGACAAACTACCGTAACTAATGGAGCCAAGCATATATGGGAGAGACGATACTTAACCTCTTAACTTGCTCCTTTAAGGTGTTTCTAATCGTGTCTGATGGTGTAAAAAAAATATGTATATCATTTTTATAATATTGCAATATCACCATATGTTTCAATATTTTATCTGGCTATCAATATTAAATGTATAGATAATAGAGCAAGTGCTGTAAATGTTAATCAGACGATATTGATCATTTATTTATTTGGTATCCATGCTTTTTGGGGTTTGAGTCAGTCCACATCTTCCACTGTGACTGCCTAAACTACAGAAATGGTGCCGCAAAACAAAAGGGCTCCAGAGGTAGCCAATTTTTGCTCATTTTTGTAGGTAAGAATGTTTTTTTTAAGATCTATAACTGAAAGATCGATATAACATCAGACAGCTAAAAATCACAATATATTGCCAAATCAATTTTTTGTCACACCCCTAATTAATTGCAATTGGAATTGCAATTGATTTTACCCCAAACTTTAGATATTTATACTCAAAATGTCTGTCCATTGAGAGTAGCTTTTAGAACAATCAAAGTCACATTATCATGTGTTTGCAAGAAATGTGCCAAATACATAAAATTCTGAATCTGAAATTATTTTTAAGACTGCAGTTCCCGTTTAATCAGGTTGTTTGGAACCAAGATTTGTTTTATATCTGAATAATTTCATTAAAATTGAATAAGAAACCGAATAGATCCATAAGAAGGGAAATAAGACATTGAAACATCTTTACACCATTCAGAATTTAGTTTTTTTGGTTTGTCATTTTTGAAACCTCACAAGTCGCTTTACTCTCTGTGATATTTATGAAATCCGGCTGATCTGCTAGACTCTCATACCAATTTTTGTTTTTAAAAGTTCCTGCAGAGGAAGTACATTCTATATCACCTAGCTCTGATTTCTGTTGCAGCAAGGATGTCTTAACGGAAAGAAATCCCAACAGTAAAGTGTCCTTAATAATGTTCTGACTTGGATTTATGCTAAATAACTTATTAGTAGCTATTTCAACAGATTGCATCATCATTCCATCTGCTTTTCGTCTTCTTGTTTTGTTTTTTAAGAGGCTTCTGCAAATGTTTAAATTGACCATTTTGCAAGTCGGTGTCAGCTCCCCTCTGCAAGGGTCTGACCAGAGGCGTAGCCAGAACATTTTTATAAGGGTGGCCAGGCAATAACCAATGTATACTGAGGGGGGGGATTCAAAAGCAGATAGGCACCAGAACCTCCACCAGAACCTACTTTAGAGTGTCACTACATGGTCCATTTACTGATTTAATGCGTAATTAAAAATAGATTTCCGAAGTTGTGAGGACCGCGGTAACCAGCGGACCAACGAGGGTAACGGCAGCCAGGGCTAACCGCAGCCCGTCTGCAGCGGTCCTCTCTTGACATAGCCTTGTGTGAAGGACCGCTGGCTCTGATGGCATTTATTTTGTTGTTTTATTTGGCAAAATGTTCATTTGATTTGTGTTTATCTGACAGTCTGCATTATAATTCCCCCATCCATCCATTTTCATACACGCTGTGGGGTCGTGAGGGGTGCTGGTCTCCAGCTGTCAATGGGCGAGAGGTGGGGTATATCCTGGACAGGTCGCCAGTCCATTGCAGGGCAACATAGAGACAAACAGGACAAACAACCGTTCACGCATACACTCACACCTAAGGGGACTTTTAGAGAAGCCAATTAACCTAACAATCATGTTTTTGGACTGTGGGAGGAAGCCGGAGTACCCGGAGAGAACCCACAGATGCTCAGGGAGAACATGCAACCTCCATGCAGAAAGACCCCGGGAATCGAAACCAGAACCTTCTTGCTACAAGGCAGTGTAACGCTTAGGGTTGCGTTTAAGGCAGGAGAGGGCGGTCAAAAACTCACGGCCACACTGGTACTGGGAGTTCCTCAGTGTCGTACTTTAATAGAACCCGCTCTTCACAAGGCCCGGTTGAACGACTGCTATATTATCACACATGACAAATGAGCAGAGTCCAGGCAACCCCTAACATTACAAAGAAGAATAAGATGAAAATAATACGTCCGTCTGAGTACGTGTATCCCTCTGCATTAGCTTTCCTGCTCTCTACAGAGAAGCAGTGGTGCATAGCAATACCACACTATCTTAAAGGGACAGTACACAATTACAGCTGTTACAGCAGCAGTGCTACCCACTGCGCCAATGAGCAGCCCTATTATTCCCCCATTAAATGAAAAAAAGTCACAATTTATTATTACATAGAGACTATTAATAACATGAGGTGAAATGCTAGCCTGAC